TGTTCTTAGTTAACCACGTGGCACTCCCGTGCCACGCTCTTTCCCAAGAGCTGTCGGCTCTTCATTAAAGAAACGTTAGGTACGTACTACGTCAGGGACGTGTACGAGATTAATCCTTTTTCCTCGTCATTCTATTTTCTCGAGTATAGCATCCCTTTGCGCTTTGTAGTACAAACTCGAGGGCTTTATGAGAAACCGGGGAGGTCCCTCACAACAAGAGACTATCTTTTGTAAAGGGAAATGTTTAATGATATAACAAATATAACAAAGTATCCTTTATTTTGAGAACAGAAAAGGAAGAAGAATATTATACTTAGACAAAGAGATACGACTACGTCATTTCTTTAACACTTTGACTGGCTGGATTTCTGTAATTGGTCTCCTGTGGTGTCACGCTATTTTTTATATAATGTAATTTCAAGTAAATTTTTCACATTAAAATATGTATTTTTCATTAAAATATGTTTTTTAATTAAGTCTTTGTTAAAATTAATAAACCTCTCCGGAACTCGCAATATATCATGTAAAACTAAAGTCGCAAAGTGTTCTCGATTCGTATGCAGATGGCACGAAGTAGGCAAATGTGTGTTAACACTAAAATTGATACGGCAGCGCCCTGAACTCACTCCATCCTAATTGGATACACATGGCAGTCAGAATGTTAAATAATTAGAATTGTTGTTAACGACCGGCGAGAACGTTGAAGATGTACCCTAAAGATCGTATAATTATTTCTGTATAATAATACACAAATGAGCTTGACTAACGGAAACGGTACAACTGGGTTACTCGAGCAATATGCAGCGAGCACGAACATTCAGTGCGCCGCCAAAAGTAATTAAACTATGCTATTCAACAGACGGTCCGTACCTATTACATGGTTTAACGTTTCGCAGATTACACTGGGACACAATATGGTGGATTGTCCGCCCGGATTGGTGTACTCCGCCTTAATCCGTGGCAATCCCCGCCGCGTAAATACGCAAGGACGAATGGAAATTGCAAAAACGCATTTGCATTTGCAATCCGTGAATCTCCGGGACACGCTCGTGACTAATCATTGTTACTCGTGAATGACACGCCGGTAGAGACGAGTTTTATGGTGACGGGCGGCGGTCGGTTCGACACGAGGCTCCATTTCACCCGATGAATTGGATGGACGCGACAGAAACTTCGTTACTTAGTTAAATTGACGAAAATCAAGTTTTCCTCCTACTTGCGGAATTGCGTCGATACGCATCCGTGACGAAAGCGCAGACGTGTACCGTGCCTGCTTGCATCGGAACGTCCGCGCGGTTTCAACGTCAATGCGATTTTGCAAGAAGTTGCTTAAAGCAATTCGTCCGCAATTTCTAAAGGAGAATTTTAGCTTCGGCCGTATTATACGGAAGTTTTATCGAAGAATTGCGAGACTTGCGTGCGAAAGTTACGACGTGTGTCACGTGTGTACGACATCGTAAAATTTATTCGCCCCGTCAAAAGTGAGGAAGTGCATGAAACGTAATTATAAACCTTACTCGCGAAACGGCGAATACATTGCCATTTACAACACGTTTCCCACGGTGTAAACATTAAGCAAACATTTTATGAGAAATAAATTGCACATTACCTCGAGCGCAAGCTTTTGTATTGTTTCGGCCCCGCGGATACACACGCTTTTACGTATCGCTCCGTCGCGTTGTGTGTTAGTAATTTGCTCGCCATCATTTATTTCCTTTCTCTTTCAGGCGACGAAGCTTTATGAATATTCCCGAGCGTGCGAAAGTGCCCCGATAAAATAGATATACACATATCGGCCGTACTAGTGCAGCTAGGGGGACAAAAATCGTCGAGCGCGCGCGCGCGAATCTCGTTGCGGCGGAGCTATCGCGTTGTGAGGTGCTTGAAATGCAAAAATGAAAAAGGGATCATCGCGCGTTTAAGTCACTTAAGTACCCTCTCGCGGTGCACTTACTTTGATTTCGCGAAACCGACATGGAATAATGGCTGGCCGACTTTCCGCGCTATAAAAATATTAGCTCACGACATCCCGCAATGATATCGCAGTTCTCTCCCCCCTGAGCGCGTAGATGCAATTACGAGATAATTATTCAGAGATGTCATCGCTAGAATTATCTTTCAACTTTTCGCTAAAACTATTTTTCAACTTTTCCTCTCTTGTAATCATATTACAACAAAGTGAGAAGTATTGCAATAAAATGTTTTTACGTGAAAAAATAGCTGCGTAAAGTGTTAATTGTTTTCAGAATTGTTACGATAGTAAAAGTAATTGATTCTCAAACAGAAAAAATGCTGAAAACTATTACAACTATTCGGGCAATTCGGGCATTTTTACCAATAAACTGACGTAACTACTTTCTACGACTGCATGAACTGACAAACACGATCAATTCAGCCGACTGTCCTCTCGCAAGTAGTTTGAATGACCTTCCTCTGCCATTCTAGAGTGACCTCCTATTGATTTTGGCTCCAATCGGAATGTGACTGTCGAGGCGTTGGTTGAACAACATTTTGCATTGCCAAATTTTTACCGTATTTTTCTCCTTTGTCTTATGTAAAAAATATATTCGTGACACGCTTGTTACAGTTTCCGTATAGATGCGCTTTTAGGGGAAGAAACATTTTTGAAAGCACTATATCTTGAAACCGCTCTCCTCGGCATGCCCCAGTATAAAATAGGCCAATCGATTTATAATCGAATTAAAATGTCCATTATATATTCTTTTGCTTTGCCTTTTGATATATTAATCGCACGGGGTAATAACCCATAAAATTTTATATTTTCTATCAAGAGCGCGACTGTCTCTTGGAAAGTTGGAAAGTAATTTAACTACTTATACGCGGAGGCACTAATTAAACCGCTTTTCCCATTTTCCTCCTTTTTGTGAACATAATTTCATTATGGCAGTTCGTTTGTATTATATTATCATCACAGACGAGTTGAAAATTAAGATGCGGTGAAATTCACAACGCGGCTTGGAAACAATGCGCCTGGAAATCGACAGCGCCGCTAGTACATAGTTCGCCACGTATTAACGTAGCGTCTAAAACGTAATTATCCTAATCTGCCGTTCTTTGTCAGCCTGCACATTTAATTCGCATAATTATGATTCTCATGACGTACGCACGGCAAGAAATGTTAATACGCAAAGGAGATTAGCTTGTTATCCTGATTTTCCGCAGGATCATCCCTGATCTAATTCCCAGCATAGACTATAATCAATTATTAATGAACGCCGGTACATAATTCATGTCCCGCTAAACTAACATTCAGGGCTTAAACCGTATGCTCCAATAGATTATATTAAAACTTTTTGATATTATGATAATCTTGGGTTATTAGTAATTTGCATCCGTAAAACTTTCTCTCCGCTCAATTTGAAAAATTTCGTATTGTTGCGCATATTTCACAAGTCTTATTTTGCAAATTGTAAAATATATCGATACGTCCAACACACAAAATTGTTGGACGTATAAAATTGATTTTACCCGCGTAAAGTTATTGATTACTTTAGATGCCATTTCTCACGATGTGCCAATACAAATGGATGTTATCTGTCAATGTTAGTGGATAATATCATTTGTCGGATATCATTTTGACAAATTGTTATGTATCGAATGAATTCCACTGAAACGGAATATCCAAATCAAAGGGACTTTCCTTTCCTTTTCTGCCAACATCAAATTTCGTAGTATCATTTATACATAGAGCGCGCGATATATTGCTAGGTAAATTTCTCTCTCTCAGTTTTCTCGAGGCGCAAAAGTTTTCAGTAATATATCAGTCTCTGCTACTGATACATTCCAAATAAATTCTGTTGTGCCACTTAAAAATGTTACAAATTTAACTATAATTATAGCAACGAAAAGCATACGGCTCAAAGAATATTTCGCGCTGACCTTATCTCCTTTTGCACTTAACTTACTACGCGTTATGCTAATAAAGTATCGCATTACGAAGTAATATTAAAGCTTTCAGTACTCGATATTCAACATAACTTTGTTAAATGTTGAAACAGCCTGGTAGAGAAAGCATCTTATACGATTCCCTCACTTCCGCCCAGTTCCCAGGCGTAATAGTTAGGATACGTGTAGTTATAGTTATAATTAATTGCCATTTAACGTGATATTAATCGTAACTTGGTGTGAATCCGTGCGAGAGCTAAGTTAGAGAATAATTCTGCCTCTAACAACGTTATGCAATGAAGGTCACGTGGCTGTGAAGTAATGTCCCATATGAGTGCCCCAAGCGCTATTCTCTTGAGAAGAATTGCCCATACAAACGTTCCAAATGGTGCCATAATTCTCGCTGTAAAATGCAGGCCGTAATTTACGGCGAAAATCTAGGCACCGCATAATAACTATCGGATTATATTGCTACATAACGATTGCCGAATCACCACGCACTCGTGGCACGTCGTTAAATCGGGACTTAATAATTTAGTCCCGCCACATATTGATGCATGACCCGCGCGCATGAGAATATCAATCTTTCAAATGCGTTTTTAAAAAAAAAAGAGGCCGTACCTACGTACCAGCCTCCACCGACAATGTGTTATTCGATAAAAGTTCGGAATTACTACCACAATACACGCGCGGCATTGAATTATGTATGTGCACGAATGAATTTTCAGCGGCTTGTCTCCGCGCGTTAAATATTTTTTAATGTAACATGTTCCGCGTAGCTTTTTGATTGACTTTACAACAAATAAGAGAGTTTCATATTTAGCCTTTGTCACATCTCTTTAAATAAAATTTTATGTATTATTTTCACGATTTACAGAACGTCATTGTGTTCGTCAAGGATTTATTTTACAAATATGTCAATCATTTCAGATATTCCGTCAATTTTTGTTAGACTTAATTGGACGTATTGACGTCAAAAAACGGTAGCGCAATAAGAAATAATTTATTTTAATGGAACAATTAATTATAAATTTATTTAAATGCAACTTTGTTCTTTTATATAATTATATTTGAAATCCTAATTTTTATTGCAGAATGAAGTGGTAACGGTGGCGCTAGAAGGTTTATTAAATAAACATGAAGTACCTCTTCCAACGTCGACAACATCGTCTTTGTAAGTACATTCATTAAAAATGTTTTCTCTGTTATGCGTGTTATGCAGATACATATTATTTCGCGGAAAAAGTGAGAGAAATTGAATGAAATGCTGTCACGAAACAATTTTTAATATTGCAAATTAACTTTTTCATTGGTAGTCATTTAATTCATTAAACTCCTACATTTTTTGGTGTGTAATAATAAACATAGCTATGTTTCTATGTTATATTTTTATTATATAACTGTATAAAGTATAAATATGATACAATATCTTTTATTGACGATCAATTTAATTTGTGATAATATTTCACCTTTAAATGATTGCGTTCGATAGTAATTGGCGTGCAGTTTACTGTAGCTAAAATATAAAAATTAAATATATTATCCATATATCAATATCTAGTCTCGATCGAATCTTGTTTTCCTTTTATTATTCGTTGAATATTTTTCATATTTTATGAGATTGTAAAAGAAATCTCATGACTGTTTTTGATCAAGAAAATCTGTATGCCGTGTACTAATTAGAAATAATTGAATTTAATATTTGCAGTTTAGAAATCAATATAAAGAAAGTTACGCGGTGTATAATGTATTTAATTTAAATTTAATTAGACGAGAGAGTATTGTGTGTGTATACGAGCAAAAGTAGCTGTATTTAATGTAATTATTAATGCAACTTTTAATAAAATTTTAATAAAAATTCTACATTTTAAAATAACATTGAAATCAAATTTTAATTATTACAATTATTACAATGTTCTTGTAAGTTCTCATTTCAATTCTGATTGAATATATAATAATAATGGATAACTTTTAATGATGAAATGTATATTGTTTTATTTTTCAGAGAAAAACTTCTAACTAATATTGAAGAGGAGGAAAACTATAATTTGCTGGAAGATATTTACGAGACACTGAATTACGACTGTGGTAAGATAATATAATTTTTACAATTAAATAATGATAGAAAATAGACGTTTGTTACACAAACAGAGAGGAGAAGCTATTTGACATCGTAATGTTGAATAAATTTTAAAATCAAACTTGCTGTATTTATACGGTAAACTATCATTTATTACTTCGGAACGAGTGGTTTTAAGAACAAACAATCTGCCGCCGTAGGGCACCATTCGCGCTCATTAAAGCAATTTGTTTATTCGTGTTTGTCTGCGCTCGCTTGCCTAGTTTAGATCCAGCTTAAAACGTTGAGACGATTATCATAAATCTATCACAACCAAATTAGGAAAACTAATCACGTCGACACATTGTTTATTTGAGAAAAAATTCACAGACTAATCCGAAGATTATGTTAACGTTTGTTAGAATCGAAAGAAATCGGACGAAAGATAACATAAGAATTTAAGCTTAAGCCCGCTTAAGAATTTTTCACGTAATATTTGAGTGTGCGTAAATAAACATTAGTATGAAAAATACAAATTAGTATTAACGGATATATTTATATTAGTATTAAATATTAGTTATATTAAATACTAGAGTATTAACGGATACCGTTAATAAACACTAGTATAAAAAATACACAAATAAGTTTTTTAAAAATATAATTTACAATAAAGCATGAGTGCCGAATAATTATTTGATATATGATTGAAAAGAACTGTTAAAAAGAAAGATATAAAATTTCACAAAATTTTCTTTGGGATAGTAACCGAATATTAACCGATTTTTAACCGTGCAATTTAATCGTTCTGTGCAAACAAGTGAAAGCTAATTTGGAATTATTTTCAGGCCAGCACGAACGTTATTTTTACGCGATTGTACGTTACCTTTTTGCATTTTTCGCAATTATATCTTAAGCGCCATTGTCCGCTTTGGTTTTGCCAGGCAACTGATAACGCGAGAATCCGTTAATACAGGCTTGACCGAGTTTTTAATTGAATGGATACAGAAAAACCCAGCGCGAAAAACTCAATCGATATTTACCGCGTCTCAAATAAAATATCCAGTAACCAAGACGGTAACAATGCGATCCATCAATTAAGCAATTGGCACAGTATCTTTTTTCTCAACCGGATGCTTTTACTCCTGTCAAAAGAATTAATGGATTTCCTTCAATAGGGAAAAAACAAATTCGGGAATTAACAAAGTTACCTAGAGAACGAATTCAATGGAAAAAATGCCTAAAATAACAAAAAAAGGGAGTTGTCATTTTTTTTCGTGTACACTCGTAATGGAAGCTAAAATATGAGGACCGGAGAACGTTGCTGTCATTACAAATAAAGCTCCGGGCGAGGCAGTCGTCCTTCTTCACATTCAAATTATTCCAGCTTTACTAAATGTGTTCGTCCCCGGATCCTTGGTTACGCGTTCTACTTTCCCTAGCAACTGCATAGCGAAGCGCAATCTGGCGTCGTATGATAATATTTTAATTTTATCCTGCGTTTTAACTCTCTCTCTCTTTCTCTCTCTCTGTCACATGCATTTTTGATTTCGGTTTGAAATGCAGCGGCGAGGATAATTTGTGTAAAGAAACACTAACGCTAATATTATTTTTGTAAAATAACATTAATGCCAATCTCACTTTTAAATGTATACAGACAGAAAATGTACGGGCATTAAATGTACGGACTTTAAATGCGCAGACACTGTAAGAATAAATATAGAAAATATGCTGTTTGCACGAATGATGCCTCACGTTACATCGTTACAAATTTTTACAATATTCTACTTTCTCTTTTTTATTCGTTCCAATGTAGCTTGAGCAAACTTCGTAAACTCGTGTATCAGAATTCCGATATTTGCCATCGAAGATTAGAAACTGTTATAGGTGCTGAAATACCTTTATCGATATTTCAATCACGCGATTCGATACGATTTTAACGAGGACGCTGTTGCAAGGCAGATATAGAGTACACAAATAGGCGACTATGTGTGGGGGTTTCCTGGCGTTAACGAAGAAGGAACCTCTGGATAGGTAATACGTACTCCGAAAGATTAATGAACTAGATGAGCCCGCGTCTCGGAAAATCATGCCCGCGATCCTGTACCGATCCACCGTTATGCCGCGGGTCTCTTATCTTATGCACGCAAGCGGGACGCCTTATTGATTCAACCTTACACGCAACGACAAAGCGAAATGCTCTTTCCCTTCTGCCTATCTCCCCTCCTCAACCGTCAAGATTCGGAGAAATACGTCAGTATTCTCTCAGAATTTTTGTCTTGTCTCTCTTTTTATAGTCCCGTAAAGATAATCTTATATTATAAATGGACTACTCGTAGGCTGGCGAACTTCAGCCGAGACTATACCGAGTCTTTCGTATACGAGAAACGGAAGCGGGAGAGGCGCGTGCAAGACCCAACTGAATATTTTATCGATTGTATATAGAAAAGTCGCGGCGAGGAGAAACGAAAAATTATTCCGCCTTGTATAGCACGACTCCCTCCGTTTTGCAAATGCTCGTTCTATTGAGCCTTAGACAATAGTTCGAACAATAATAGCATTACGTTTCTCAGTGTCATCATACATTGTATTACAGTACAATTGTACGAGGGGCATTACATTTCTATTCCGCGATTGAATCAATTCTTCTACTATCTCTCACCTTTTCAAGCCGCATTAAAGATTTTACGTTCTTGTAACGCACTACAATTTACGTTTTTAACTTTGTTAAATGACGCGGTACACGGATTATAATTAGAAATCTTCGTATCGTTAATCATTCCTTTAGATAGCCCCATGCACCTGCACTTCTAATAAATTACAAACATGCTTATTAGCGATAATTAATTTTCTATATAATATGCACGTGCACAAGTACGCTCAAGAAGTGTACGGTGTCTCTTTGGGAACTTTGCAAACTACGCTGAGTTTATTTGCGATCAATCTTGAACGTTGAAACGACGACGCCGGCGCGTACACGCGGAACCCGGTGTGTTTCAGAATGCTAATTGAAACAAGAGCGAACCGTACTTTCTTTGGGAAGAAGTAAGATTGTTAAAGTCTCTTCGGAAAGTTGTTACGGCTGTCAGTCGAGACACTCGTCTGTTGCTGGCAATCACAGCCAGTAGTATAAGAGACTTTTCGAGCGTCTTCGCAAATTTTACGTACAGTTCTTTTATTTTTGTACAAATAAAATTTTTATACATGCAGTTCTTTCATTTTTATACAAATGTATATGGAAAGAAACGATGTTGCTGAATATAATATTCCTGTTAGCATACAGCACAAAAATTAGGTCATACAGATCTGAAAATAATAATATGTTGGACCATTAAAATAATTACGAGATACTCAAGCATGATAATGATAATGCTACAACTGTTGACGTTCAACTGCTGAAATGTTGACGTTTTAGCGACCAGATCGTTCAATATGAATATTTAAATGGTCCAACATAATTATTTATCAGATCTGTATCTAATTAAATTTATCAACAAAACTGCTCTTACTATGTATTATCAATGATAAAAAGAAGCAAGTATGCCGTGTTATGCAAAATATATAAAAATGTATAAGCGTATTTAAATTCGAAAGGTTAATATCTTCTCTGATATGTATATCACTATACATACAGCCGTTTTAAAGGTTAATATCTTCTCTGAATATGATTACGTGTACAGTACATACAGCCGTTTTGCATTTTTAATATGCATTAATGAATTAATTTTTCATCAATGTGTGCTATGCTAAATATGCCCTTTTCAACTATATATATATATATATATATATATAGAGGTCGCAAGTTTTTAGCTGCTCGGAATTATCAGCTTGAAAAGTCTCTTGATCGTCTAATAATTTAATTGTATGCAAGATAGAGAGAGTCGACGCTGTGTGGCAGAGCGTGCACTTTAAATTCGTTAACGGGCAGCCATAGATCTCGATTATCCAAGGGGCTCAAGGGTAATGCTGTTTGACAGCGACGTTGTTGTCAGATGGTTTTCCACGATCCTTCATCTTCGAGCGCATATTAACCCAATTTACGTTCGGCCGTTCGAGTACTGTAGTTACAGTGGAGTACGCTTCAGAAACGTCCCATTAATCATCACGGACAATCGATATGCGCATGCAATGTATTCGGATCTGACTTCCTCATCGGAACTTATGAATGGGCGACCCGCCGCCGCCGCTGCCCCCGTCCGTCCGTCCGTCCATCCGTCCGTTTGCTCGAAGACAACGGTCGTCGCTCGCGTAATGCGCCCTTTGTGACTAATAGTCCGGCGAACGTGCATGAAACGCGAGGCGCGCACTCGCGGACGGAATTTAACGCTCGTAACTTAGAAATACGGTGCCCTAACGTAATAAACCCGCGACGCGCGATGTTACGTAACCACATTAGAGAATGCCTGCACCACGCGCGCGCGCGCTGCGAAGGGCGAGAGGAGGCACCACCGTGAGCGATTATGTGAAACGCCTGTTTACCCGCCATAAAACATGTAACGCACCCGTGTGGCGGTTTCCTGTTAAATATATCGCCAACTTATCTCCTGCGTCAAGACGCTCCTTTGACGACGGCGAGCGGGCACATACATATATTCTCGGTCGAAGTGATCTCCGTATCCAAGCATGTAATCCTGAAAAAAAGGACAAGGGTGGCGTAGCGAGCGCGCGCGATGTACTTTCAAGTTCAAACAAAATCGCCCTGCCGCCGGGTCTCTCTCACTCTGTTTTTTTTTCTCCTCTCACAGGCGTACACCGTAAAGGCGTACACCGTAAAGGAATTGCCATCCTGGTGGAATCTCTTTCCCCTCCCGCGTTAAACAATTACGGCCGGGCCTTGAATATCGAAGTTCACTGATAAAACGCGCACAGGCCGTGCGCATTTTAATGCAATTAATGCGATTCAGTACATTGCACATGCGAGCGTAAACAAGAATAGCTCTGAAAATATTTAATATAGCATGTGATTAATAAACGAGATTGCGAGATAATGAATTAACAATTTCCCCTATTTACCTCGCAACATATGTAATATGTATATACATATATTTGCGCCACTAGAAAATCATCGGACCATTAAATTCTCTCCGTGCCTGCAGTCTATTAACGGCGATGAACGATGCGCGTATAAGCCGCCGCTTATCGCCCGCTGACAAATACGCACAGTCGTTTATCAAGCAGGCGGAAAACATGTATTTTTGCTCATAAGGACTCGTCGGGCGAGACAAATCGTCAGCATAAGCCGGCACATTATTTCCTCCCTCGTGACCCAGAACCCGCTTTTCCGTCCTTCCCATGCCTGTGCAGCGCGCGATCACTTCGCATTTCGTATACCCGACAGGAAGTGGTTGTTGCTGTGGTTACCGGAGCATAGAAGATACTTCTCGTACCAGCGTAATGCAATCTCGAGAGAAACTCTAAGACCCCGCTGTCACCAAAGATATACAGGACATTAGGCCATTTGCAAGATTGACTTACGAAGAGTCTACATACGGGGCGTATTTACGCCCGCGCGACGTCTCCCGCAATGCCGAACAGCGAAATCGTTTACCGTCGGAATTTATCGGATATATCGCGAAAAATATAAAAGAAAAGCATATATCGCGGCGCATTCATACTCGGGCCGGAGGGGAGGAAGGGAGGGAAATAGCGCAGACAGACCGTCTGCGCTTGATTCGCCCGCGTATTCGCCGTGACCCAGAAAGTACCGACCGAAAATTTCTTTGTCCGCGCGCTTCCGGGTTAATCGCAGCGTAAATATACACATAAATCATAGATAACATTTCCATTTCCGGAACAACATATTATCCTATATCGCGTTAGTCGCGGGCAAACATTTGCAGTATTTCATCGCGTGATTTATCATATTTATCGGCTAACGACACGCGCGATTACGCGTGAGGCCTTTGAGAATATTATTAGGTCGATACCGAAAGCCCGTCCGAATTTAAAAAGTATAATATCAATGAATATCGGTCGAGCTTCAGCGATTTCCTGGAAATTTCGTCGCATGATACGATAAGAGTATCATGGGTGCGCCATGCGATGTAATCCGAATAATTAGACGTGAATATCATATCGTATCGTGTAACCGCTATTATAATTATCGTGTTTTCGTAACGACATTTGATGTGAAATAATACGGGGTCGTTAAAGCAGCCCTTGCTCACCGCGTCTATTTCCGGATTTGCAAGGGACTCGAACATGCCAGGCTTAACTGAGCTGAAACGCGGCATATGTATTATCGATCTCCCTCCCCCCCCCCCCCGCGAGATTTGCTCGCAATTCTCCGATGCGTCGATTTCGGTATTCGACATCGTGTTAAACATTTATATAGATATTTTTGATAAAAAGTGCAGAGAGGAGATAAATCCTTTATACGATAATGCCGCAAAATGGAAGTAAAAATTCGAAGACGATACATATCGTTCGTCACAATAAATACATAGCATTTTTTTAATAAACAGAATATTTGCAGTTGGTCTATATATACTGGTTCGTGTGCGTGCGTGTGTGTGTGTGTAAGATAGTTTTACGGTACTTTAAAACAACGTGCTGTATCCTCTACCTATTGTTTACGAAACTCAGTTCTCTGAGTATCGGAGAGAGAGAAATAAACGGTTCCTGAGTGACTCAACACAATTCCCTCAAGGCGAATTCATGTTTGCGAAACTTTTGCAGACGTCGACGTGAACGCGTTTTTCGATCATCTCGGGCAGGAGCTGATCACATGGGCTTGCGTGGGTCTCTTAGAGCGGGCTTTTCGTTGCCTTGGGAACGATCTGACCGCTTTCCTGACCACACTCGACGGCGTAAACGACGTTGTCCAGCATCAGTCGGGATCGGATACCGAGGCGGAGTTTGTGTGTATCGCCACACCGGAAGCGCTGGAGCTACACTTCACCACCGACCACCCTTCCATCGCCTATCTACTGGTGGGCAGTCTAAAGGGCATAGCCAGGCAGTTCTATGACGACAAAGCCGACGTGTATATACTGCCGGATCCCTACAATACAAAATTTTTTAGGTAAATCTTTTTACGGTGTCCGTTACCTCATTTTATCGCGACCGACAAGCTCGATCTTTCCCCCCCTCCCCTCGTCGCGCCATTTCTCCCTTTATCGAGAATATACCCCTCAGATTCATCCGTGGATTTTAATTTCCGTTTCTTTCCAATCCGATTTTGAAAGCGGCATAAAGGCACAAAGAACGATATCGCGGGGCGTTAGAAGGCGAAGAAAATTTTCTAGACTATCTTTACGTTTAGTGGAGAGTACAAAAATTGTTATCAAACATCACGCGCGAGCGAGTTTTCCGCGGCAGCGAATACAGAGGTCCGCGTTACCTCGCTTTTGAAGCACGACACAATTCTGATTCGACGACAGTCGACGGACTGCTACTCGTAAAACGATGAAATGGGAACAAGAAAGGGAGAGAAAGTGTGAGAGAGAGAGAGAAAAATATGAAATCAAAACGATACAAGCGTTGGAAATACGATTTGGAGAAATACGGCGAAAATTGGTGGCACCAACATCAACTGCGCAACACGATTATGGCCTTTTCAATATTCGCCGAAATTTTTCAATTCAGTTGTGATTAGATCCCTGTATATGTAAACGAATACAGAATGTGACTGCACAGAGATAGACATATCAGATTTCAGAATTGTCGCTGGGCACGCTGCGGCATAAATCCCAATGTAAGCGCCACCGTGTGACTTTCGCGACATCGCAAATATTATTCCTTACGCAAATAATTTATATGCATTTATTTGTATATCATTCATTACTTACGCAAATAATTCACGTGTTTACGTAGAATTTGCATTTCGTTTCAATCAAGCGCGAAGCGTATATAACCCGTTCGCGCGCGCACATTAAAATGTGTGATGACCCGAGGAAAAAAGGGGAAAAAAAAAGAAAGAAAAGGAATACGGATTTATTTCATCGAATATTATTGCATCGTATATGCTCTTGCATGACGTATTTAATGTTTGCTCACCGAATCGCGTGTACCTCGAAATAATGTCACGTGAGTAGAATGTAATTCGTGCAGATATAGGCAAAGGCGGAGCACGTGAGAGTACAAACCTTTCGTTTGAACAAATATTGATTCTCGTCAGTGGCAAATATTTGATGATAGGTGCGGTACTACCCCGAGTCTCACGTTAATTCTAAAAGGACGAGATCAACGCGCGAACATGTAAATGACGTGCAAAACATTGTCACCGCACATCGCTTGCGTTTCCGAGTTTAATTAAACGTTCCATCAGAGAAGGGGGGGGGGGCGGGTTATACGCTTTATCCGCGCGACGACCGTGGCATCGAAACGACCGGTAATTGCCTCTGGTTGTTTTATGTCATCATAAGAAGTGTTGACTTTCCTATCACATATCTACGTCGTGTATGGAGAGAAGTTAAGTATTAAGTTTCAATCCTGATATTTATACGCGGTGTAGCAGCGCTCCGCGATATCGCCGTTTTCCAACACGCTCGCATATATTGCCTCTGATGTATGCGGCAAAAGCGCGACCGATCCGTGCGACGCGGCGCCCTTATTGAATATTTCTTCTGCGTGGCGGAAAATACACGCGGCACCTGCACAACCCGCTCTTCCTTGAATATTGCAGATACCGGATTACGCCGGAGCGTTACAGCGAACAGCCGGGCGTAGGCGACAACTGCGACGTGGTGTCATCCACTTTCCGTCCACTCTCCACCGCAGCAACGGACCTCCGTATGGGGGTGGCGAGCTTTTGCAAAGCGTTCCCATGGCACTTCGTCGTCGACCGTCAGCTGGAGCTCGTTCAGCTCGGCGTCGGCTTCATGAAGATTTTCGGGCACCATTTGAATCGGCTCGGCAGGGGGATATCGACGTACTTCGCCTTCACACGACCCCACGGCGTCACTCTGACCTTTCACGAGATCCTAAAGCGCGCGAATACACCGTTTATCCTGACCCTCCAGAGACCGCACGACGTCGATAAATATCCCGCGGAGGTATGCTCATCACATGATTACCAATGCAGGATGATTAACTTATTCCGGTGAACTCCGGTGCTATGCTATCGTAAAGCACAAACATGCAAATAAAAGCGGACCGGGCGAGAGGGAAATCATTTGATGATTTTCAACGACTGTTGCTGCGCGAAGTGGATTACTAATATTGTTCGGAGACACCGTACGTGTAGTCTAGTGAGATGAATTTATGAAGAGAACTCTGCCTGATCTTGTTACAGGGCCTGGAAATGAAGGGTCAGATGGTACACTGTCCAGAATCGGACTCGATTTTATTTGTAAGCTCGCCGTTCTTGAACGGTTTGGAGGGCTTAACGGGTCGAGGACTCTTCATTTCTGATATCCCTCTTCACGACGCTACAAGGGACGTCATACTCGTCGGCGAACAAGCCAGGGCACAGGTGAATAAATTCCGGTGGCCGGTTTTACGCCGCCGCGGTCGAGCACTCGTGTTATTTGACAAAACTCGAGTCATTTATATTTTCATCAACGATTGTTATTGTTTCATTTGCGATAGAATAATACGGAAATTCGTTTGCGTTTAACATAATTAAAACGGATCGATGTACCTATCGTATTCAGATATCCGTACAAAATACAATGGCGTAATCCTCTTTCAGGATGGCTTAAGGAGACGTATGGATAAATTGAAGAGTTCTATAGAAGAAGCTAACCTGGCGGTCGATGCGGAAAGAGAAAAGAATGTCAGCCTTCTACATCTTATATTTCCGCCGGATATTGCGAAACGTCTGTGGCTGGGTAAATTACAACAATCTATCGGTCCTAAGATATATGTAGCAATATTTTTGTATCCTTAAGATTCTCTTTTTATTTTCCAAGTAGAGTGTAGTGTAATATCGTACGAAAGTAGAAAAAATTAATCTAAAGACCTAATTGTAAAAAAAAAACTACTATTAAACTACCAAAAATTTATAATCATGTAGAAATAATTTTATCTAGCAGTATAATTTGAATATAATGTTATAGACTTTATGAGAAATCATCGGCATTCGAATTGATCGATATTCGTATCTAAATTGTTTAGGAGAGACAATTGAGGCAAAAACGTATCCAGATGTCACGATGCTGTTTAGCGACATAGTCGGATTCACGTCTATCTGCGCAACAACAACGCCGATGATGGTCATCAACATGCTTCAAAATCTATACGAGCAATTTGACCTTTACTGTGGTCAGTTAGATGTGTATAAGGTATGTCGTAAGTTGGAAATAATACTTTCACAAAGATCATATGGACTGAGATATATATACATCTATATCTATATATATTGAGTATAATTAATTTGCTAAAATCAATCAAATGACTCTATTTATTCTTCATTTTTTTAAGTTTTTAATTGATAAGAATCAAGATAAATCGCATTTAGATGTTTCTCAACGTATTAGAAAAATAATCATTAATTTATCAAAAACTAATTATTTAAATTATAAGCATATACTTTTATTTGTCAATCAGTATTTTACGCAAATACCGATCGTTTTGTTGTGAATTACAATCTACCTCGCTAAAATGTATGATGCTGCCATCTGTGAGACATCAAAGGAACTGGATTTAGCTCACTGGAATAATTTCTTATCGTTATCGGCGTATTTGTTTTCCAACAATAGCAAATAATATAATGCCGATCGAGTAGAAAGGCATATTTTTTTTTTACGAGCATCAGTTTAATTCATCGATTTATTCTAATTATGTCAAACGTGATCTATAAAAGCAGCTATTGTATATACGAGTATGAATGGGGACTGCATTGATTTTACTTTTTCCCTTGTATGTAACACAGGTAGAGACAATCGGCGATGCTTACTGCGTTGCATGCGGCCTTCATCGAAATACCAATACACATGCGCAACAAATTGCTTGGATGGGCCTAAAGATGATACAAACGTGCTCTCATCACCTGACTCACGAAGGCAAGCCAATAAAGGTATTACATCGATGATTACACGACTGCAGATAAGATCGTGATTACATGCAATGCAATTTTCTTTCAGCACAACGTTATGACAGTAATGGCATAGTAAACATTATATTTGCAGTTTTATTGTGATTTTATGCAATTTGGTATTACAACCGGCGTTTCTACGTTCATTACACTGGGCGAGAAAAAACACATTACGATCGAGTACAAACAAGTTTTAACAGTGGTATAAAAATGTTACACTATATTAAGTGCTACACGGCATTGCGTTTCAAGTTTTAATACCTAGAATGTGCAAAATATTTTTAAAAATCCCTAAAATTTAAATGTACACGGAAAGAACAATTTTGTTGAAAGATCCAAAAATTTGGTTAAAAATAGATCTGAAAATAGTTTTTTGTTGAATCAAAATTCATCAAAATAATTTGTTGGAATGGTAAAACTGATAAGCATTGCTGTAAAACGTTTTGATTTTCTAGCAATCACTTTGACTTTCGCACAAAATTATTTTGATTACTGAACAAAAATTATTTTCAGATCTGGCTTCAGCAAAATTGTTTTTTCCGTGTAAATATGTTTTTTATTGCGCATACAAAAATATTTGTCACGCGATAATACGTTAAAGATACATTTTTTTTTACATTTTCAATTTTTGCAAATCCGCCGATTTTTGTCTAAATATAATTTTTGAGTTTTAATTAAATGAGTCTTCTTCTTTCGTATTTAATAATAATGATCAGAACAATCTTTTAACTTTCAACTCTCAAATCTTAACTCTCTTCCTTTCACAGAAAACACCATATTTCTCTTAAAGTTTTTCAATTGAGAGATATTTCTGATTATTACATATCCATTCGAGCAGACAGTCCGTTGTTTATTATTCTCGCCTTGAATGCTATTAAAACTTTTCCCATTTAAAGTATTTCTTAACTACGACAACAAGCGGAGGGAGGGGTGGCGGGGGGGGGGTAGGGCCAGTTTGAAAATACGAGAAAACCGTCCACGGTTGCATTAACATTTAAAGCAAGTTACGTTTCTTTTTCTCATTGGCATTTTCTTGCGATTGTCATCTAACTTTTTTTTTTATATTTCCGCCAATACGCGCGGCGTATACAAGAACTGTTATCGACTCACTAGATTGTCCTGCTTGCTTGTCCCTATCCAGATGCGCATCGGCATTCACACCGGGATGGTGCTGGCGGGAGTCGTGGGCAAGAAGATGCCGAGATACTGTCTCTTTGGACATAACGTCACGTTGGCGAATAAATTTGAATCCACGAGCGAGCCACTTCGCGTCAACGTCAGTCCAACTACGTACCTGTATGTCTTCCGACAAGATATATCTCTTCCCGTATATATATTAAGAATCGGTCCATAATGAGGATTTTAAGCCCTAAGCAGTAAGAAATAGACCAATCGTTGTCGAATATGAAGAGAATAATCGATTGTAATTGGTCAATATCTTACGGTGTAAGGTTTAAAATCTTTATTGTGGACCGACACTAACGCGTCGCGTTCACGGTGCTGCAAATGTGCTTACAGGTGCTTAACGCAAAAATCGGGATTCATTTTGGAACCGCGGACCAAGGACAATCTACCCAAGGGAATGCCAGCCGGTGTATCGGGCACGTGTTACTTTCTGAACGGGTATCAGCACAGCGCTGTCGGCGCGAGCGAGCCGCTCGACATGCACATTCAGGCTGCAATTACGGAATTCGGAATCAGTAGCAATATGTAGATACCCACCGATACCGGGGACGTTTACCGTTGTTCAGTGTGTTACTTTAACGATATTACCGTGTCGATAATAGCGATGGCACACCCGACACTATCAGATCGATCGATGTATATGCGCTCTCAAAGGTACTGGCACTAAAAAGGTACATTAAAAGCATGGCGCTAATTGTGTATACGAATACACATTAAAAGAGTATCCTGTGCGGGGATACCATTTATACGCAGAGTCTTAGATTGTAATCATTATATACTACTAAATATAAGAAGCAAGTAAAACTCTATCATGGACTATATACGCTTGTGTGTCATTCAAGGAACCCTGTCCCAAACGTATCCACAGATCGAATTCTTTAATTCCTATATTATCTAAATTATCACGCGAACATGCATAATTATCATTTTTACACGTAACATGCTCTTATGGTAAAATAGTATTGGATTAGTACAGAAACGAGTAGTGTACAATATATTGGATTCAAATGGATTTTTAATTATTTCCAATCATTTTTTTTTTTCGCGAGTCCAACGGTATTTTTCCGTGATGGTAATTATAAAGGAAAATACATGTGTCCATCAAAAGATTTTATAGAACAATTCTACTTTGTGCGCATTCGATTCATTGTCAGATCAATAACAGATCGCCAATACTTTCTGTATTATGGAAAATATTTTCAAGCTGTTTCCTCTCGCAAAACAGAGAGTTTCATTTTCTCTTTCCGCGCAGCTGCTACATTCATTATGTTTCAGTTTTTATTTTAATAACAATTTATTTTCCGATGAGGCTTGAATCAGATGGCATTTTATAGCGCGGTTTACTTTTGTACGTAAAAAGACGTATATCGAGAAGATCGAGATCAGACAAGTGGAATAGCCATTGCATGACTTGTTTCTTTGTTTCAGACGTTGAATAAAATCAATACCGCTCTGTATCCAGTCCTTGCGATGAGAGAGAAATTTTTCGCAACGCGGCGCGTTACGACTTATTAATAACTGATGCGCAATTTTTCGTATAAGAAAGCGGCGAAATTTACGAGGCGCGATTTACGCTCGCGGAACCGCTAATATTTCAACTTTCCGCGGAAGCGTTCTCCCCCGAGGAAAGTTCCGGCCGTTGTACGAAGTAGCGGCTTTTAAGATAATAACGCCGGTTTGTGGATCACGGTAATAACTAATTGTGCCGTTCTCGCGGCGAGACGCAGCGGCGGCAGTCCGCTTATTGAAAAGCGCGGCCTCTTTCCGCTTTAATGTAACCGTGCGCGCATCGTTTTATCCGGGGGGACAAGGGGGAAAGAGGTACAAAAGGAAGGTGGCGTGTATTGTAAAACTGAAAGCTAGGAGGTGGTTTTACAAAGCTACTGTCACTAACGGCCCCTTCGTTCGTTCACGCACGTGCGCTTATATATGTGTGTATGTGTGTGTGTGTGTTTGTATGCACATTGCTTGCGCGCACCCTTGCCAGCAATCTGCTCGCGTATCCTTAATGTTTCTTATAGTGGCATTTATGCAGAGGCGAAGAAATTAAACATCGTCCCTTCCGGCTATGTCGTGTAATCAAACGCTCGGCACTGACAATGAGCAAAGTAATCGGTAAAGGGTCCTGAAAACGGGACCGTAAAACGATATGAATATTAAAGCACACGAAAAGATAGAAGGGAAAAATTAGAACAGTCAGCCATAATGAGAGTAAGCGACACGAAAGTCAGGTTTTTCAATAACAGGCATCATTGTGTGCAAAACAAAGATTGTACGTTCTTCGCAAAGTTGGCAAAAGAGCTCGTTAAGAATAAGTAATTGCGGAAAATAACTAATTGTAATTAAAAAATTGAATAATGGGACATTCATCGAAATGCCAAATAAGTGAATAAAAAATAAAAAACATTAAACGCAAACGTTGTAAGAAGATGTAAGAAAAATGTACTTGAAAAGGGATATTATTAATAAGTTGGAAGAAGATTTATTTTCATTACAAACTCGATTCCTAAGGTGCTTATGATATAATGCGATACATTTTCGCCATCGTATAAATTGAGTTAAATATAAGGAAAAAATTTATACATTATTAAATATTTAATAACCTGATTCCGTGAGAATCAGGTTTTCAATTATATATATATGTGAGTGTGTATGTGTGTGTATATATACATACGGGAGACGTTACTGTGTTTCTGATATTATAGTAATTTAATTTAAAAAATTAACAAATATTTTGTATATATTAAAAATAAAATTAAAATAAAATAAAATCTACTTGCTTTATTTTTTATTTTATCATTCTATTATTTTAAAACTTCAAGTTATTATAACAATGACGTAATAAACAGTCAGTAAACCAATATTAATTTTAAAAAGATTTTCAGGGCACATGCCGCGTCCACCATATCGTTATGTATTTAAAAAATTAAGTCAAACGCTCTAGTAGTTTTCAGAAGCCTAGCTTCTAAATTAGTTTGAGAAATATTTCTTTGTCAAGAAGTATGATGCTTATTAAAACAATTTAATTAAACTACAAAATTTCATTAAACAGATGACATTTACGTCGTAATTAGAATAAACCCCATTAGGAAAATGCTATATTTGCACAGAGTTTAAATATTCAAGTTAAGTTACTATTTTAAAATGTATTTAAAACATCGCTTTTTGATATTACGAAATGTCTATTTAAAGTTCTATCTCAGAAAAAGCAATGCACTATTTTCAACAAATTTACGTTAATTTACGAACCAAATAGATTAGTCAAATTGACACATTTGTCAAATTTAGAAAATCGTACATTGTGTAATTATTATACAGACTAGAAAGTAATAAAATATTACATTTCTCTAAATCATTTATTAAGATATATTAAAACATTACCATTATAAATAAAATATAATAGCATGTTTAAATCGAGTAAATATTTTAATAAGATATGCGCATCGTTAAGCATCCTCACGGTAGGTATTTCGAGTGCCTCGAGTTTAATACGCGTGACATAATCCACATTCTCTGCTTAATTACATTCTCTTGATAGTTCCGAACAGTGTGAAGTAACTGGAACATTAGCTCTATAAGTTTAAGAAACCATCATATTGAGATCAATTATTTCAAATAGTATTGCTTTTTCTGTGGAACATTGAAAGATATTTTGAATTAATTACATCTTTTCACGTCTATTAGTAAATATTGTAAGTATATTAAATTTATTTTTATATATAATTATTTTCTTCACTTTATTAATTCTTTCTATAAAATTAATGTAATATATTACGATAATGTATGTTACAATAATGTAATATATTGTAATAACATTATCACATATTATAGATTATCGGATTACACTATTACATTTATATATTCATATGTCTCTAACATTTTGTTTAGTAGGATTGTTTCTTTTAAAAATAATAAAAATGCCTCCAACCGGCCTTCATCTTGAGCATGGCTCCCACTTTTCACACAGAAGGACAACTATGAGACAAGTCTGAAAAATTGCTGTAGCCCCTTTTGCTACAAAGGTTTCATTACAGAGCACCTCATTATTTACTTTCCCATCTGTCGCACGTCTCCCCCACATTGCGCTGAATTATCCTTAACGAAGAGCTGGTAATTGGTTAATTAATATTAACTGACGCGAGTGGCACAGTTTTGTATCGATTTTATCGATACTCGTAATGAATTCACTTGAGCGTTATTAATTTAATAATAATTTTAAAAGAAAATATGTTATTTAATATTACATCTCTCTTCCATCAAGTATCTAATTTTCATGACTTTCAATTAGCATATAGTCTTTTAGAGAATAAATTAAGTTTGTGCATTTTATTTCAGCTAGATTCTGTCGCTTCGTGTGCAACCACCGGATGATGTATATCTTGCAAAAGCTACTCTGAATTGCACGACGTGCTTCCACGCTTACGGCTTCCCTCTGTCATATCGACAAAAAAATTTATTATTAACTCGCATATATGTGGAATATGAATATATGCATTCTTTGTGCCGTAGCGTCCGGCCATTTAGCTAGTTCGTTTAAACTGCAATGACTGTACATCGGTTTACTCAACTACAGAACCGATCGAAAGAATATTTTAAATATTAATTATTAACTACTAAGCGCATACTCTAACCGCAATGCGTATCATTTAGCATTTTCGCGTATTTTCCGTTTAAAAAATCGATTGAAGAAGCATGAGAAGCAAAGAAGATTTTTCTTACAGTATGACATTCATCGATAATGAAACGAATGCTGTGGACTAAACGTCAGAATTATCAAGTATGTAATCAACAATTAATTATCTTTGAATTGAACATATGACCGAGATCGGTATTCATACAGTCAGTTCTCAATTTCAAGATTATTTTAAGTGTTCAAATGCTAATACGAATTTCAAGAATGCTAAGATTTTGTGATTTACTTTATCGAATTTTAAGATTGTACTTGAAGGTTTTAAATAGAGCAGACTATGAATATACGGCTTTATTAATGAAGAAATCTCTGGATAAAATTATAAAAAGGAGTAGCAGATTCGTCTATGTAGAACATAATTATATTAAATTCATTCGCACGAACTTGATTATCTGAATTTATAGTAATCATCACTCGTGCTATTGTTAAAAAATGAGAAAATTTCTTAGTAAAATAGAAAAAAAATTGCAGCTTTCTTTTTATATCGAATTTTATACGGTCGTAATTCCATTCGACGTACGCGATTTGACGCCACTTAAGACTGGGCATAATAAAGCGGGCGCTCAATAAATGTTTCATGTAACACGAAATATTGGATAAAGCAGATTCTGCAAATCTCATATTTTAGCTCAGTATTCATTCATCTATATAGTTAAATGTAATAATACCTAATCCACAATGTTTAAAATAATGCGGTTTATAATAATTAAATTAATGTCTATGGCGGAAATTTAATACACTTATTGATTTATCATATATCCGTCGCTGAACAACATTATCCCGTTTTGACATCAACCTATTTATTCTATGATGTATAAATAATATCTAATTATCTTTTACAATTAAATGTATGTATTATACATATGTATTTACGTACGTGGATACGTGTGTATGTGTGTGTAGAATAAGTTTATATTTAAAAATGAAAATATAAAAATAAACAAAAAATGGCAGTCGAATAAAATTCTTTAATTTATTTGGGCAATTGAAGGTAAATATAGTTCAATTCGTTATCACCAAAAAATACGATACATATCCCTTTATGCGCTGCAAATGTACAATTAATTTTATTTTTCTTTTGAAATTGGAACACACGCTTCAATAGTTTATTATTCATCGCAATAAATTACTGCATGCTTAAAGCGCGAGCGGAGAGAAGGCAAATGAGTGGAAAGGTTTGGAAGAGGGTGATAGAGGGGTGGGAGGGCGTGTACGGTGGGAATGCGAGCGAAACGGAGGGCGCGCGATGAATGAAACATAATTTATTCAATTGGTACTAATAAATGGTATTTATCTCGCACCCACTCAGTAGTTACGTCAGAATAAAATTTGTACACATTGTCACAGCATTGTCACGTTGGAAAGGATATTGCGTTGCACGGCGCGCAACATCGACAAACGGTACGGCGACTTAGCGCCAAAGTGCGTAAATTGGTTAATGAGAACAAAAAAGTATTTAAAATTTTTGTTTTAACATCGTTATAAAAATTAAAAGCGATATAATACAATGCAAACAATTTTTTTTCAATTCATCCCCTAACTCTTGATCGGAATTGATGATGAGGGAAGAAAAAAGTGGAAACATGTAGAATTTCGATAATTGATGTGCACTCTATATATCAATTACTGGAAATGTGAAAATCAATTGCCAAAGCATTGTTCCACTCTCGTCTCTCCATTATTCAATTTTCATATCATCGTTAAATTGGTTACATTGTATTTTCTGCAAATTGATGGAGATTTGATCGCCGAGCCAGAAAACAGAATTTATCACTCTGATTAAACCGCCCTTACGTCAAATTGTCCCCGCGTTAAAACTTTATTAATAAGAAATTTACGTCGGCGGAAAAGAAGTGCGAGATAAGACACGCGCGCGAGAGGCGAAATTTCGAAAGGAGCCGATAAAGTATTTACCGTGGCCGTTCGTGCCTGTGTGTATTTATCTGCAGTGCAACATCGCGAGATAGCGAGGATATTTTATTTACTACGTCCTTTTAATGAGATAGATTCAGCGCTGTGATAAAATATCTAACTTGTTACCGTTCGGGCGGCGCAACCGTGCAGCCGCGCGCGTATTGTGTGTTATTCGTTTGCCGGAGACTCGAAGTTTAATTAATCGCCGCTATATCCGCAAACGCATGGAACTACGCTTACACACGAACTTAACTGCATTGTAATATGTAAAGTCTGATAATAAACGTTTAACATCGCTCAACGTTAAAAACGGAAAACCGACGATTTCCCTGTTTTTCCCCACCCCTTCCCGGATTCGCTAATTAATAATTCCATTCCATGCGCGGCTAAAGATACACGTAACGTTTATTAATAAATAGTTTTGTTTTACACGCGGCGTTTGTACAGTCAGTCACCGGTTCGCGTAAACATAGTAGGCCACAGCCGAATGCGCGAATTACGGACAAACAGCAGTGCGCGTAAATTAATCGACAGAATTTCCGTGTCGTTCCTTATTCGACGCGCGTGTTTCGCCCCCGTCTCGGTGAACATTGATAATTTTCCCGTCATAAACAATGGAACACCGTCGAGAAAAGATTTTTTTTTAGAACTCAATCGACTCTGCGAACCCACTGTCAGAGAAGATATCTGTAAACACGAATCGCGGATCTGTCGAGATAAATTGCCTCGGCATTCCCGCTCGGGGAATATAATCAATTCAAAATTGACGAAAGAAGAAATTCCATTACGCACGCGAAAAATCTTCAAGATATTCGATATTACCTTATACACCGCGCCATGTTGACGGATATTCCGATCTTTTTCTTCGGGCGGGATCCGCGGAGCTGCTTCGTTCCGGCAGGGCTCTGAAAAGAGCATTCGGTGATATCAGGAAAATCCACGTAGTACTCCACCCCAGTACGCTCATCGCTCGTACGTACGTACGTACGTTACGTTACGTACGTTACTCCAATTCCCGATGCGAATCGGAGCGCAAAGACGCCGAAGACCGGTCAAAGGCGCGTCGTCGCCCTGGGCGCCACTGGCCGCTAGGAGCGCGCCGGTCGCGAGCGCGCACCTCGGCCGCGTCCCGACGCTCAGTCTGCCGCAGTCAGCAGCGCGCGTAGGTCGTGTCCGTTGTCGCGTCGCGCCGCGTCGTGCCGATCTCTCTCTCTTCCCCTCTTTCTCTCTCTCTCTTTCACTTCACTCACTCATTCATTCGTTCACTCCGACGAGAGATCGCACGAGCTGGATCGCGCTCGTCGGGTACGTTCGGCTTCCGTATGCAAAATCAGTGCACGACGAGAGAGAGAGAGATTCGCCCTCGTGGGGAACTCGCATTCCTACGTTGAGGTATATACGTCGCGTTACACCGTGGGGTGCACCGGTGCGGTCGTACTGTATCCTGTTTCGCGCGTTACTTCGTTATTGTCACGCACGCTCGCGCGCGTTACAGGAGGCTCCTCGGCGTGTCCTCCCCGCGACGGAGTTTCCCCGGAGCAATCGGAGCGATCCCACAGTGTTATAACGACGCGCTCCGCTTCGCTTCGCGACCTCTGTGTGTATATGTGTGTTTCCCAGTGCGCGGGATGATGTGACGCCGTGCGCCACGTTTTTCGAACGACGCGGGTCGGGTAACGCGCGCTCCTCCTCGTCGTGCGGGGATCCGTGAGGTCTTCTCGGGAGTGCCGGCTGCAAGTGCGCGAGGCCCAGGGTCCTCGTAGTAACCGCGGTAGTGTTGTCGGCGCGCGCGGCCGTGCATGCGGCGTCCTTTGTGGTCGGCGCGGGAGATAATACGGGGAGCGAGAAGCAACAAGAGTAGCCAGGGGACGAGAGGAGGGCGGGACGGAAGGAAGGTGGCCGTTCGTCGAGAGGACAGCGTGAAGTTGCCGCCGCTTCGATTAACGGATACGTGAAGTTAGCCGCCGGACGGCGACGGGGGTATAGACTGTATAGAGTAAGTACCGATCTTCTTTTTCTTCTCGCTTCAGAGTTTATCCGCTCATCTCGCAGCCGTTCTGCCAGACAGATACCAACGAAGGCGTGCGTGCGTGTGTATGCTCGCGCGCGCGCGAACACGCTCTCCTGCTCGGATGCACGCCGAGAGTGCCGATCGAGAGTCTTACCTCGCACACACGCTCGTGTCCGTGGCACACGAGGCGGCCGCACGCCACGCGATCGGCCGTGCGGCGCTCGTTCCGTTCAGGTAACGCGGCCTTTTTCTCCGGGGCCCGGAATGGAATCCCGTCCGGAGCGGCGGCGAACCTCTCGCGTGTGCGCCGCGATCTCACACGGGATCTCGTTGTCTTCGACTCTTCCAACAACAGCGTGCCCGGGCTCGTGCGCGAACGATGCTCTGTGTCTTCTCTCTCGTCGCGCGATCGCGCCTCGCTCCAGCATCCTTCCGTCCCGATGTTCTCCGCCCCGCGCGTTCAATATTAAATGCGACCGTCCGGATTTTCCGACATTTATCTGTCCCCCGCGTGAGATTCGCATCGCCCGAGAAAGAATGGAACGCGGAGACACGGAGAGCGACGCGGTGGGTACCCTACATCCGGGATTGCGGAGATGCAATTCCGCTGATGCCAACGATTCTCGCGAATAAATGCGTGAACGCATCGACGTGTATTTAATGTAACGACGACGAATATTTCAGATACGGTGTTTAATGTTGAATGAAAATACCACAGTGGTCGGCGTTCGAAACGCGAATATCGAACGACGTGTACAGACGTCTACGTGGAAATAATTGTGTCCGCGTATCAAAATTATGTAGTGCAAATCTTGGACGTTTTGCCCGATTGGGAATATCGGTGATTGTACGATCGAATCTATTATGCGCGGCGCATTTCGATATCGCGACTGCATCATTGAATAACAATGGCGCCAATACTCGGGATACAGTTTCGTATACCGTTTTTACGAGGCATAAAAATAGTTTGACGCAAACATTCTTCGTTTCCTAAATATACACGGGCACTTCACATCTTTAAACGCTGGACTTTTTCGATTGTTTACGTTTACGCGCTCGAACCATAAAATCACTTCACAATATAATTGAAGGGCTCGATGCAAAAAGCGGTCAGCTCCATTTTTGAGTGAAAATGACACATTTCCAGTGGATTTAACGTACCAAACATTCTGCGTTTTATATATATATATATACAGAAATAGTTCCAAATTCAACAAATTGATCTTTGCATATTTCATTCAATTATTTTCGTAAAATATTTTGCACAACTTATACTTGACAAGATAGTTTTATCTTGTTAATTAACTTGCGGTAATTTAAATAAAATATTAATGTTTTACAGTTGGTCGATTTTTTGCACCAAGCCCTTTAATTAATGAGAACGATATTTTCAAAGTTTTACTTGAAATACAGTAAGATTTCAAATTCGAAACGTACTCCGCCATGCAGTCGTTAATTGATTTTTTGCATCGAGCCCTTTAATTAATGAGAACGATATTTTCAAAGTTTTACTTGAAATACAGTAAGAAGATTTCAAATTTAAAACGTATTCCGCCATGCACTTGTTAATTGATTATATGAAAATTTCTTTCATTTATTTCAAGAGGTTCGTGCAAAAATTCGATCGTTTTAGAATTGACAAATAGGATTATCTATAAAAATTCAAGAATTCATATAGAAAACACGAACATCTCCAAAACGAAGGGAAGAAAATTCAGCTGCGCTCGCCCGCCGCTCTCGTGTCACCTGAAATAAACGTGCGAAAAATAACATGCGCCTCGAAAGGTTATTAAAACTCGTGATACTTAATAAAAAGATGGAGATCGCGGGTAGAGTAAATTTTCCCTCGCGTGAAAAAGGTCTGGGCAAAACGCGCTCTTTCAACGTTTACTCTACATATATCAATCTTCCGCAAGTCACTGTTGTTCGGAGCAACAGTTTCGAAGGGAGATATCAATTCTTTTGCAGAAAAGCGATCAATCTATTGCAGCCGGCATGAAATAAGATATCAAACTCCTCGAAGAGAGGCCGGGTAAGAATCCGTCTCGATCTTCGTTCCTTTTTACTGTCTACTTATGTCGCGTCGTTTGCTTTTTCGGAAGTACATAAATTCTTACTCGAAATGGAGCACATTTTTTCTCGCAAGTTTTTACGCGAGAAAAGTCGGAGTCTCTTCGAGTCCTTTTTTTTTTTCCAAATCGGATGTCGCAAAGTTACCTGGATTATAAAATACGTATAATTGGCGAAAAGTTTACCGCGCGTTTTGTAAATAAATATCGTTATTGCTCGCCGAGATGACAAGAGCCTGCGAGTCAGTTTACCAACATAATTGGTGCGCGTTTGTCGATTCCGAGTGTGCGTTATTATCAAGTTCGAAGGAACTTTCCCGCCCGGGGGACGGGAGATCCGCTTTGCGATATTATAAACGCAGTTATTTGTACGGGCCCTTCCTTCCCTTCATTGAAAGTCGAGACAACCGAACCGTTCTATTAAAATGACAATTGAGCCGCTGAGTAGCGAGCAAGGGTCGACAATTTCGTAGAGCATTTAATTATGAGATCTCATCTCGCAATTTAGAGGAGATCCTCGAGCGCGAGGAGAAAAGTCAATTTCTTCGGCAAAAGCGCTTTCGTTTGTCGAAGTACCTACGTCAAAAATAACTGACGGCAGCCAGTCGTTGAAGCGAGTAGTAGGACACTTGAATGTAATTTCGAAATACTTGTTGATCAGATGGGAAAAAAATCGTGGTAATATATTTTATACGTGACTCAATTACAATATCGGTGATAACTTTCTTTTAAATGAAAAATTTTTTAATGCAAAAAGTAGCCTAGCATTGACAAAAAGAAAAAGATTAACAAGTTACGAGTATTAAAAATTAGCAAGTATAATTTTAATGGAAATTAATATGTCTCATTAAATGACAGCTGCCGCAGCGGCCCTGATAGATTTTGTACCTCGGCACGATGATTTATTCCTCCGGGGTGACAGTGAACGAACGGACCTGAAACGCTCATTTCCGTTTCAATAACGTACCAACGGATGTATGCCATTTCAGTGCCTGAAAATTTGAAATCGCAGTTTGGCTATTTTTATATGCACCACTCGTATCCTGTGCGGAAATATATGAGGCTTTTTTTGTTTATCGATTTCACGTTGATACGGAAATATAAAGCCGGTGCCGCGGTATTAACAGGCGCCAGGATTCATTTTCGGGTTCGATATTTACATTGTGGCTTTTCAAGGTTGAGCGCGGTTAGTTTAAATATACTCCTTTCGGAATTGTTTTCGCGTTTTTCGCGCGCGCGATCGAAGATACCGACGTATGTACACCGAGAGACACAGTGCTAACAAGCGGAACGGAATTGATTCTTTGATGTGTTTCCTCATGTGTTTGCAGTAATAATACTCAGTGCGAAAAATATTGTGTGTGTGTGTGCCCAATATGTCAGCGGCTGTTTATCTGCTACATCACCATGATATTCGTATATTTGTGTTATTTCCGCTTTAAGTGCGCACTCCACCGCATTTTGTATTACGTTACTTCGAAGCACAATGGAGCAATGTATCGACGTATTTAGTTACGTATAGGGGTATTGGCACGTTCGATCCACGGCTATTTGTTCTGCCCATAAATCGGCTACGTCACTGAACTCTTGAGCCCTCGCTGCCGTCCGCCCGCGCCGCCGCCGCATTCCTCCCGGCCCGTTGCGACGCGCGCCAGGAGACGCTCTGATAAAAGTTACTCATACCGCGTATATGAATCATGCGAGGTATCGAGTTCACCGAGTTCGCCCTACCTCGTGCGTGTCCGGCAATCGTACGTGCCATCGGACCTCCCGGTGATATCCCGTGCCCATGTGAGCGCTGTTTTCCCTCCCAAAAAATGTGTTAGGTGAAAAATAACTAAGGGCCTCCGAGTTTAGATATGACGACGTAACGCGCCCATCGGTCACGGCGATTTTTAGAAGTTTCTGCCGAAGTCCGTAAATGGAATATCGGACAAAAAAGAGTGAGCAGAAAGGGAAATCGTGTTTTCCAAAAGAAGCAGATATTTGCAACAAACGAAAAAGGAACGGAAGATAGAAATAGATTACGCGGCGTAAAATGTAGGGCGGTAATTTATATAC